TTAAAAAACTTTAACATACTAATATCAACAATAAATTTTTAAATAAAAAATACTTCTTAAAAAATAATTCAAAACCAATATATTAGGTAACCAAAGCAACGGCTGGAGATTAGAATGTAGAGTTTTGCTGGATATGTCCATTTTATCTTCTTTATCTTTTGGAGGCCATAATCTATCATGCATCAAATGACAGCTACCCTCAGCTGTCAAATGTTGAAGGCCATAATCAATATTAACTCTGGCTGCTTTACTATGCGAAGTAACTAGGGTTACATGACACCTCAAATCTTTTAGTATAATAGTTGATGTATTCTTAAATTGCCATCAAAGAGACTCATCGTTAAAAAGTTGCTGCCACGTATGGAGGCCGGAGCGGCAACCTGGATCTAAGAACAAGATAAAAGGAAGCAGACGACGTCATAGAAGAGGTGGTCAATCGCCAACAGTGAAATATATTACAGATAAAAAACTATTAATTTGGAGTATATAGATCATGTGAAGTCACCTAACACTAAAATAACCGGGAGGCTCACCTTTCTCATTCCCTGGTCTTCAACGAACTCATCTTCTTGCATTATGGCCAACTATCTCTGACAAAAGGGAGAAGATTTGTGCTCTTAACCTCAATAATTCCTCCTGGATAAGGTTAACAAATTAGGTGTCCACTCAAGAGTTTATTTATTTTTTATTGTTACCGATGATGGCAGAGAAAAGAATTGAAATTAATTCTTACATGTGTTTGTCAGAGAATAAAATAAAAATAAAACCTAATTGAATTTTATTCATTGTCTCCTTCAAAAAAATATTTTACTTTATTTTCTATCAATATATCTTTCTAAGAAAAAAAAACAGAAAAGAAAAAGTTAAAGCAAAACTCTTCGAAAAAAACACAGAAAAGAAAAAGTTAAAGCAAAACTCAAGAAGCCGCAGTGACTGATCGACGGCAATAGGAATGTTAGGGTGAGTTCATACGATGATCTTTGAAGCGTTGACTTCGTTTTGCTGAGGGAAGAAGAATCCAAAGGGTGGAATCTCTCCACTTCAACTTTGTAGTGGGGGACACGCATATTAATTGAGCAGTTTCAATAAGAAATTTCTCAACAGAAAAGCAAATAATTAAATATTGGCAATTTTATAAATAGTATTTCATTATTGTCTTGAAATCATATTAATTTTAAATATTTAAAAACTCATTTCAAAATTATTTTAAAAATAAATATTTTTTTTATTCAAAAAAACTTTATTTCTAGATAACATAATTATAGATACAGGCAAGCAAGTAAAATCCCTATTATACCAAACTTTTATAAAAGATGTGTATATATCTTAAAACATTAATTAAACATAACCTAAATTATATTTACTAGTTAAAATGATTAATAAACATTGGACAATCTTTTTTATGAACATTAAACACATGAGGCACAGTGCTTCGAACTTCTAAGCAAAGTAGTAGCATTTAATTTGTCCAATGGGTTACAAATTGAAGTATTGGCCAACAAATCTGGAATTGACACCAATTTTCTGATGGGCCATGAGAGGCAAAGAAGAAAACAGATAGGATCATGGAAGAATTGCTGGGATACGGCAATGAAGCTTCCCTAAAATCACGACCATTTTCTGTCTGTTTCAGCTTGCCACAAAGGTACGTGATGTTCATGTAATCTACCATGTCTTCCAAGTTGTACCACGATGTTTTTGTTTTCTTCAAACTTTTGCTTAGATTTTAGGGCACAGCCATCCTCCCTCCTTCTCTATCCATATATATTAGACGAATGAATATGCAAAGAATTGGAAAATGTGTTCGGAATTGCAGACACTGATGGTTTGGTCGACGCGAGCGGTCACCTGAATCCGTCAATTTATTCCACCAATTTGGTCCCATTCTGCCCACCATAAATTACAAACAAAAGATAGTGGCTTTGAACTTGTTTCACATACAGGAAATATTAAAACAGAACACTAAAATCTACAGTACCATTCCAAAATATACATGCTGATCATGGCTTACGACCTGATAACTCTCTTCTTCCGTACCGCACCTATCTCCATAATATGATGGGCCTTCGTCATCCTCCGAAAGGGTCCTATGCTGAAGTGACATGACAAGCGCAGGACGCTTAATGTATTTGAATTGCAGGTTAATAATTTATTAGAATGAGTAAGGAGAGATGCTGCTTGAATGGCAAGAACGTCTAGCTACCCACCCATAATAGGACAGGAGATACATGTGGATAGAAATATATGCAATTCAACGAGAAAAAAATATTATATTTATTATTAAGTCAAAAATATTATTATTTTTAATGTAATAAAAACTGCTTTTAAAAATATTATGTATCCAATATCAAACACATATTAACAAGAAGAAATCTAAAGTAAAATGACCACCTTAGTTGATATATGTACAACATTATTGGAGAAAAATATTTGTAAGACTTGTAAAATTACAAATAATAACATGGACTGATTTTGATTGTTATGGCAGAATATTCTTAGTTATAGGATTTGAACTTTAGATTATACTAGAAAAAAGAAAATAGGAATAGCAATGAGTGGGTATCGGAACCATCATGCAATTCTTAAATCATATATATATATATATATCCTTCATTGATATTAGTTAAGTGACTAGTATGTATTACTTC